ACCACCGCTGTCAGCTGGCAGCCCCTCTGCTCGCCCTCAGCCCACCATCATTGCGGTGCGAGCCCCGTGGGACTGCCATCCTCCAGCGTCACCGTGGTTGGAGTCTCCCTCACCTCCGCCTCCAGCTCATTGTGTTGTTGTGTTTTCCCTCCACAGGTGTGCCATGTCTCAGTTAATTAGTCATTCCATGCACCTGTGTTCCCCTAATTGCCCAGTGTTTTAAAAGCCCTAGTCCTGCTGTCTGTCTTTGTCTGAGATTGAACGTCAACCCCTGTGTTTCCTGTGTTCCAAGCTGCCAAGTGTTACTTTCTGGATATTCTGAATTAAAAGACTATTGTTCGTGTACTCCTGTTCTCCTTGTTCCTCGCATTAGGCTAAAGTGTGACACTTGCTCTATTCTTTTTCTATTCTATCCATTTTCTTTTTATTTATTATATAATTTAAAAAAAAAACCTACTACGTTAAGCTAACAGACTTGTTATAGCACTTGCGTATCATTGCTCTTTTATTGATTTTGATTGCTTCCATTGTCCTCATTTGTTTTGGATTTCTTTGGAAAAAAGCGTCTGCTAAATGACTAAATGTAATATGTACATTATATATTTTAAAAATCAGTGTGGCAGGGGTGTATTAATCAACATCTGTCTGTTTTACCCAATTTATCCTTTTGGGGTATTAGACATTTTGAAATTTTTCGTAAAATGTTTCATGAACGCATTGGTGTTTTGTTAAAAAGTCAGTATACATCATTGTCACCATGTCCTGAAGGTACTCAAAATGTTTAGAGTCAGCACCACTTTTTTTTTCATTCCTAATGGAATGTAGAAAAAAATGCTAATAGCTATTGATTAATATTGATTAGCCAATTTCATGAGACTGTCATTAATATATATCTTGGGTCATGCAGACTAGACTAAACAGTTTTTGTTTACCATTTCACAACATCTAGCGTGTGACGCGTGTGCGTGCTCTGGCATAGTAGACGCATGAGCGGAAGCGATCTGTCGTACGTATACGTCACTCATTGGATGTTGTGAACGCGCTCAGCACAGTTGGACATTGCGGTGGATCAGAGGTAAAAAATGATATAAATACTGTTCAGTTTCTTGCACAGACCGATCATTTCGTGTCTTAAGACCTCAATGTATCGTCACGAGCCGCAGGGTTTAATTTGGTTTTGTCTGTGTATGTTTTATTTGACGCTCAAAGCCGTGGAGCCTATTGACTGCCATTATATGACTGACAGACTGCAACGGTTTGAGTTAAAAATCTTTGTTTGTGTTCTACTGAAGAAACAAAGTCACCAACATCTTGGATTCCCTGCGGGTAAGCAGATAAACATCAAATTTTCATTTTTGGGTGAACTATCCCTTTAATTGCCACTTGCAGCACTATTTGTGATCATTACAATTACCACAGGCATAACCCCTGCTACTTCAGGTCATGTCATATAAATGGATTATTTAATGATTTATCAAGGATAAACATTATATTAAACCACACAATTGTATGTGCTTTTTAGTTTTTGGATTCTCACCTCATGGCCACATTGCTGCCATCAATAACAATTTGGCGGAGGTTATCCTTATCTTCCACAGAAGGGGACTCTGACCGGTGAGAGTCAAGTGAGTCAGAGAAACTGCAGAAAGAAGATGTGCCAGAGGATGATGATGATGATGTGGAAGTGGATTGGGAGAGAGTCTGTGTCCCACCGTCATTCTCTGGCTTACTGCCTAGTTTTACCAGCTCCCCAAGAACATCATTGATCAGTGCATCTGACCCGAGCTTGTTCAGAACCAGCCGAACTAAGTCTTCTGCATAGCCGAGTTTAAGGGCAAACTCCATCTTTGTCTGGTATTCCCTGAGTGTATCCACAGGGCCTGGCTCTTGGTGTACCATATCCAGAACCAGTGAATCCATATCCAGACTTGGAGACCAACAGTGTGGTGGGTGGACTGCATGGATGGACCCATCACCAAGCATATCGACAAGAGGATGACTGTGGCTGTGTGCAGGCTCCCTGTCTGATCCTGCACTTTCCTCTGAGTCATCTTGTGGAGAAGAACCGCAGCTCCTAGTGCAGGGGGCCACAACGTCACCTGTGTCAGATGAACCACTGTCCATGATAAGTCCAGCGTCAGCGCCGGTCTGCTGGTCTGTAGCCTTCACATGAAGGTAGTCTAGATCCAACCCCAGTTTGAGGATGTGGCCTGTTCCATCATCCAGATGGTCTTTCAGGCCCATGAATCTGCAACAAACATCCAATGCTGTTCTGACTGAGAGTCTTGCTGACCCCTGCCACCTGTTATTCAGCCCTCAGATCGCCTTTCGGAGGTAAACCTGGTGAAGGAGAGAGGGATACTTTAAGAGACTCCATAGTAATCCAGAGAACAATGAGAGGTGTCTAAGTTGCTGAACTGCTAAAGCATGCTTGAAGCAGATGGGGTTAAAAGCTCCACTAAAGGACACGACATCAGTAGTGAGAGAAATGAGAGAGACAGAAAGTTCTATTGTCTTCGCTCTCCACAATTTGTGGCAGAACACCCATCATTCACAAAGTTCTACAGTTTGCCTTGTTTTTTATCGAATGTTTTGGCATATTCATTGTGATTTTAGCTACTGATAGTGTCTAGAACTCTAACCCTAAAATTAAAAATAAATAAATAAATTCTGTCATCATTTACTTCCTTAAGTAGATAGAGTCTGATGAGACCGAAAGTTGCATCATGCCACCTAGGGCCATAAATTCCCCAACTGTATAGGAAAAACCAAGTAACATCAAAGGAATGGACCAAACAGAAATTCCTGGAGGCCCTGACAGATTCAGGCCACTTCCTCGGTCAGCAAGTAGCACCCCAACATTGTTGCCTTACCCGTCATCCAGAGTCAGAAGAATAATTCCAAAGCTTACCTTTCTTTGTTTTACTTTGGAAAACTCCAGTTTAACTTTCACCTTCTTTTTGGAGCTTCAAAGTTCTGGACCCTGTTGACTTTCACTGTATGGTACGCTGAAACATTCTTTAAAATATCTTCTTTTGTGCTCCACAGATGAAAAGCTATTGAAACTGTCAAGTATCCAATTGTTGCTAGGCTGCAGCTGCTGTACAAAGGTGCCCCATGTGTCTGACTTGTCTACCAAAAAAAAAAAGAGTTCACCAGACCAATCTGTGCATCACTCGCTCTCAGAGGGTGGGAATGGGGGAGGGACGGGGGAGAAAAATATAAAACATTATTCCCTCATGACAATGAGCATCTGATGGATTAAAGTTTTTGAAAATCAAAACTGACCAATGCCTGCCTACATGAGCTTGCCAGTAGCATCACTTTTGATTTGTTGGCATTTTTCAAATCTTGCTAGTGAGCAAGCCAGGCATGACCATTTGTCATTAATGAGTAATGATTATGTTACACATGCTGTTTGATTTAACGGAATGTGTATGCATGTGTGTGAGAGAGTGTGTATGAAGTTTAAGAGAATGAGTAGGGTTCCTAAAAGACAGTGTGTATGTGTGTGTGTGTCTGTGTGTGTGTGTGTGTGTGTGTGTGTGTGTG